AGAAAACCATTTGGAGCATTATGGAAAACATTAGGGACTATGAAAAACTTACTAATCGCTAAAAGTTTGGATTTGAAGAGACTGTCATTCACTTTACTTATTAAAAAGCTATGCCGGGTGTAGCGTTGAAAGAAAACGCCGCCCAAGTGATACTGACCCTTCATTCAATTAGCGCTTAGAAACGAACGTTTTTTTTCTTAGTTTAAGCCGTCTGGTCCTTCAAGATTAACTTTTTGTCAAGAGGAAAACAAGTGAAATAGTACATAAAACAGGAAGAGTGTGCTAAAACTTCTAAATAAAAATATTCATCGTGCTCAAAAATTTTACTTTGTGAGACCGTTGGAAATAAATGAAAAAGAAACTTAGCTAATTCCAAGAGCCCAGAAATCGAAATGTGATCAGGACGACTAGGAAATAATTTCCATTATCAAATTCAAGCCAGAGATAATTTGTATGTTGTCGCAGAATCCACCTAGTAGGATATCTAGCCGGGTAATCGGGCCTTTGACCTACGGCGCTTTGAACAATCTATAATTTCAAGCTTAGCTCTGAGCTAGTTCAATATTTGGATAATATTTTGAGCAGGCAAGTCAAGATTTGCGATAACGGATTTAATTAATTTTCCATTAGAAGGTAAATAAAACGTTTCCGATGGACTCGTGAAAATTGTATCGGAATTATCCGTTTAAGTTAATTTAGTTTAACTTAAGTTTGTAATATATATCCTTATCGATTTGACTTTATTATCTGGGTCAATCCGGTGATAATTGATGTAAATAAAACGTAAATGCACGCGGCTAAGAACAATCGAAGGTGATTTGTAAATTTGCCTCAAAACNTATATATATATATATTTGTTGGGGGGATTTCTGAGGAAAATTCACAAATTACCTTCGATTGTTCTTAGCCGCGTGCATTTACATTTTTCCTACAAAATTGATTGTGCTTAACCGAGATAAGTCGGATTAGGAATCAGAAATAAAACCAACAGCAAAAACGATTTTGAAATGAAAGTAATACGTGGCGGAAAGAAATTGAAACCGAAAAATACTTAATTGCCTCTTTTCAAAAGCATTCCGCCAGATTGAAAAGGAAAATTAATTTTTCCAACTTCCCAACTTTTATATTATTTTCAAACTTATACAATATTATAAAAAAAAAAGCTTTGCCCTTTCTCTCACTCACCAAAATTGCAGGTCGATCCGATTCTCTAATTCGCCTGCAATAAATTATTGCATTTGCTTTAATAACAACGGGCTTTCACAATTCACGTATTCAACAAATAAATCTTCCTGTTATGAATAAACTGGGTTATTATGGGCTCTGACAGATTTCCCATTTCATTCGGCCTCCTTTTAATACCCCACAACCCCAAGGTTCGGATTAATCTCTTTTTCAAGTTCCCTCCATTTACCTTTACCACTTATTTATGTTCTTTCCCATTAAAACTTTCTTCAGAACCAGTTTAAACATAAATACGTGAAATGGAGACGCGGTTCCCATCTTGTATTATAAAAACTTGTAGTAAAAGATAAAATAGATAATAGTATAAATCTTGCTTTAGTTATTTAGACATCGGTTAGTTTCGCCAGTATTGACGGTAAGGATGTGGTCTATGTTAAGTCTTCGCTCAAAGGATATTATATATTGCCAATTTATTTAAATTGTAATTTTTGGGAAGCTCATTTTCAAAATTTATCTATGTTTTTGAATAGCAACTCGACTTTAAGTTTTATTCTGATCGGTGATTTTAATGTCAGAATTGGTAATTCTCAATCTATCCCTGAGGAAATTGTGCCTGGGAATTATAAATGTAGGTTAGTTAGACGGTCGAAGGATTGGGTTCTGAATGGAAGAGGCCGCAGATATTTGGAACTCTGTGATAATCACGATTTAATTGTTCTTAATGGGCGATTTCCTGGTGATGTGGAGGGCGAGTATACCTTTATCAGCACAGTTGGTTCTTCAGTAAATGATCTGTGCTGCGTTTCTTTGGATATCATTCCTATGATTGAGGATTTTAAGGTTCTTCCTATGCATTTTTCTGATCACTTTCCCATTAATATAACATTTAATTTTCAAATTCCAGCTACGGACAATATTCTTCCGTTGCTTCCTCAGTTAGTTTGGTCTGATAATCTGTCAACTTCTTACAAATCCAGATTAAGCTTTATTCTAAACAATGTCTCAGTGTTTCCTTCTAATCCGCAAGAATGGGTGGACGTTTTGGTCACTGCCATTAGATCCTCGTGTCCCTCACATCCTGGGAATAATTCTCTTATAAGAAGTGTGAGAAAAAAACCATGGTACAATTATAACTGTATGCATGCCAGATCTAGATTATTCAATCTCCTTAAACTTTTTCGTAAATCTAATTCAGTTGTTGTTAGAAATGCTTATCTTTTTGCAAATAAGGCATATAAATCTCTCTGTCAGAATACAAAGAAATAATTTTATACTTCTTTAGCGTTTCAATTTAATAATGTCAAGAACTCAAAGGATTTATGGCAATTGATTAATACTTTTAAATTTAAAAATTTTATGTGTGGAAATTCCATCCTAATGAGTAATTGGGTTTCTCATTTCCAAAAACTGCTCAATCCCGCTTCAGTCCATTCTGTGCTTTCTTATGCCGAACCTTGTCGACAATCGCCTATCTTGGATTCACCATTCTCACTTAAGGAGTTAGCATCTGTCATTAACGGTTTAAAAAATAGAAAAGCTCCGGGTCCAGATCGCGTGGTGTATGAATTTTACAAAAACGCCCCCGATATCTTTCACGAGAAACTACTATCTTTTTTCAATTATATTTATGAAAGAGGAGGAACACCTCCCAGTTTTGCCAAGTCAATTATTTTCCCTCTTTTTAAACAAGGGGACATCAATGATGTCTCAAATTATAGGGGGATTTCNCGACCTGCACGTTGGCCTGGCGAGGCTGACCAGACCCGCACTCATAGCAATGTTAAATGATGGCCGTCTGTGTCGTCCTCTCATCAGATTTGCTCGCCATGCTTGGACTTACAGATTCGAGCTAGTCCAACACTTTAATTATTAATGTTTTACAATATCTCTTTATTTTGTTAGCTTTTATTATTACTATTTCTTCGATTTTCTTCTATAGTATTGCTTTATTTTTATTATTCTTGATTTATTCATTTATTTAATTTTTGTAAGTTTGTTTAATTTAATCGCAGTATTTTTTAGTACGTTCATAGACTAATTTAATTTAATTATTTCATGTATGTTTATTATTATTATTCTGTGTTTGCTCACATCAACTCCGGCTGACGGACTGTTGTCCATGCCTTAAAGTATTTTGTAACATATTTTGAGTTTGTTGTATTCCATGTAAATAAATACTATTATTCATTCATTCATTCATTCATTCATAGTTATTTAGACATCCATTAAGCTTGGCTTGAAATATATGTTTTACAGACTGTAAATTAAACAATTGGCAATAACAGCAGATAATAATCAAGTTTTCTTATTAAAAAAAATTGCATCCTCTCAATTTCAAGAGTTTTTAGAAAATTACTCGAAATTTACGAAAAAACTACTACTTACGAAAAAAAGCTATACAATAAAAACTGTCCTTTCCGCAGTTCAATATGAACCTCTATGATCTCTCCACCGACGACAGTCCTATTTCCTCACCTTATCTATCATTCTAAATTCTAAGCCAAATTCAAAATCTCTACCAGCCATGTAAACAGTAAATTCCATTGGCACCAGCATTTTCTTTAAAAAAAGAAGTATTTGACGAGGCGTTGAATATCTACACGACCGCTATTCAAGAGGCAGCCAAGTGGGCTCAATTAACCATTATCCCCAAAACCCTCTCCCACAACAAACCGAACCCAAAACGACAGGCCCCGAGCTTTTTGAGCGAGATCAACGCATCTTTCCGATACCAATCCTTCAAAAAATTGAGTTGTAAACCGCATATCCTTCTCGTTAGTCCGTATGTGGCACAAGGGCTTCCTGGACAAATTAAATTATGTCCTTCCTTACTTAACTGTTCTTTCGGATCCAAACAATATCAGGTTGCTCCGGCCATTGCGCTCTGGCCGCTGGAGTACCGCAAGGCACTGTGCTTGGACCCTTTATACCGTACATGTCCCAAATACACTTACTCTCCATACCTCCTTTGCTAGAAAAACACCACTACTTTCTTCCGACTCGATCCTACAGTTGCTTCGGAAGATCTGCAGAGACATACCATGAAAAACAGGCTGGTATAGGCAGTAATAAATGAAGAAAAAAAGAAAGTAAATCATGTCACATTTACTACTAATGTTTTGTAACCCCAAATCTGATTGCGTTCGTTACCTTGGGTTTTACCTATATTTAACACGGAATCAGCTTACACTATTGAAACGGCTAGGGTTAAACAGACACCCTACTCTATAAACCAACGGATGACAACCCATGGTATTGAAAAAAAATTAACCTTACGATCTTCGAAACGCTACTACAACCGATTTATAAAACTGTGGGGACACTCAACTTTCAATATCCATCTATTACTACTACATCACTATGTATCCAATAACAACCTCCAAAATGACCTCAAAATCTTATTTATTTAAAAATTCTTAAATACTTTACTTATTTTTACAATAAACTTTCCCATCATCCAAATCTTCCGCAAGCCTAATCCAATAGATCCCATCCTACAATGCAACTCAAGTGGACGACCAAAATTAAGGTTCAAACTTTCAGTTGCAACATAAAAATAAGCAAAAAAATATGTTAAAGGCTATGGTATACCTCTACTAATGGAAGTCGTCTTGAAAAAATGCAAGTTTCTAAAAATGCAGTGTGATTAAGTGGCATTCCAAAAAGGACATTATTCTTAATAATAAAAGTTATCTAATAAATGACGGTAAGTAGTATTAATTTTTATTAAATACGTAGAATTACTGTCGTCAGCAAGCAACGGCATAAAACAATAATTTTTAACTTTTCGTTTGAAGAATGAAATATACAGAAACCTGGCAACCGTAGACACCGACGTCTTTATTCTGGACGAACTTGATCTGCAGTGTCCAGTCGTCGGAGCCGTCTGCGTGCAGGGCCATAAAACGTTCGTCTGTGGTGTAGGTGAGCTTTGCCGATGTGAGGATGTGCCAGTCTCTTTTTCTAATCCATGTGACCTGCAAACCATTCATATTTGATTGAATAAAACTAACACGCTGACTGCAACTCGGGAAAATACTAAAAAAAAAAACGTGGTTACGGTTTTAGAAAATGTTCTATTGGTTGTTATCAGGGATGTGGTCAAATAAATTATTTTTACTTTTAAATCTTCGCCTAGCTTTCGGAACTCTATTGTACCTTCTTCAGAGCTCTTCAAAAGGATATACTGTACATTTGGTACAATAAAGTTCCAAAAGCTAGGCGAAGATTTCAAATTAAAAATATTTTATTTGACCACAATCCTGATAACAACCAAGAGAACGTTATCTGCATAAGTTGGTTGATAACTCTACAAAACGGTTTAGATATCTTAAGATCTGGATATTAATATAATGCAAGAACAGAAAATATATATTAATTTAATACAAAACATAATAAAGCTGTACACAGTAACGCTATATATTTTCTAGAAGAAACCGTAATTTATGTAATATATTAAAAAAATATATATGTGTCTACATATATAATTTGATGTTGATAAAGACATATTTTATTTTTGTGGATTATCAATCTTTTTTATTGAAAAACTTTTGTTTCTGTATTATTCAGTGATCTTAGAAAAAGAACATGTGCTGAGATAATTGTGCTGTTGTTACATGAGATCATATGTTGGATAAAATTTAAAACAAACGAAACAAAGACAAAATTATCACGCATTGTTTTATGTAGTATTTGGACAGTTAGATTTCGGTGTTAATACATTCTATACCTTTTGTAGTCGAGATGCTATGGCTAAAGTTGTTATTAGCAAGTTTGCTATTGACATCAGGAGTGACGCTAAACACATACAGGCACAAAAAACAATTTTACCCAACTATTGTGTGCATGTCAAAGTCGAATGTGTCCATGACAGCCCTCTATATACAAGGATTCGTGCTGGTGTACATTTTAGGGATAGTGGTAAGAAAGATTTTCTTCGGAAGGTTGAGGCATGTGGAAAACGAGATCCTCGCGGAAAGGTCTTGGTACTCTTTAACGGAAACGTGTTTAGCCTTTACGATATTCAAGGAAGACTTCACGCCGAGATTCGTCGCTTTGTTCACTCTCCTTCTGTTCCTGAAAGCTTTTCACTGGTTGGCCGACGAGCGGATAGATCTAATGGAAAGGACACCCGCCGTGTCACCACTTTTTCACATAAGGATGTTTACTCTTCTCATCATACTGGGCTCTTCGGATTGCGCACTGCTCATGTTCGCTTACAACTCGACGATAAAGAGAGGTCCTTCGGGGCAGATGATATTCGGTTTCGAGTACGCCATTCTTCTCATAACCGTAACAAATACCATGGTAAAGTACTTTTCTCATATTCGCGATTTACACGAACGCACGTGGGAAAACAAGACCGTTTTTGTGTTATATACGGACCTAGTCATCGGGCTGGTCAAATCGTTGGTTTACTTGGCATTTATAATAACAATGTTTCGTGTTTACACCTTGCCCGTATTTGCTTTGCGGCCGTTTTACCAAACGTTAAGGGATTTTAAAAAGACGCTACGGGACGTAATCATGTCGAGGCGTGCTTTGAAAAATCTGAGTAGCTTGTATCCTGACGCGACGGCTGAGGAGTTGGCTCGGGAAGAAGTTTGCATAATCTGTCGAGAAGACTTACGGTCGAACGCAAAAAAGCTTCCTTGTAACCACGTCTTTCACACGTCGTGTCTTCGTTCCTGGTTCCAGAGACAGCAGACGTGTCCTATCTGCAGGTTCAACGTGCTGGTGGCACCGAGGCCCGCAGAGAGTCAGGTACAACAACGGCCGGAGGAACAACATTCCAGAAGAAGCGGCGAATCGAACGAGTCGTCTCAACGAGATAGAACGACGACGCGTCAATGGCGACGTGCTGTTTCATCACGCGAGAGGAGACATCGCAGTTCTCGGCTTCGGCGGCACAAAGCGTCCGACATGACCGACGAGGACATGAAGCGATTGCGGTCCGCGACCATCCACGGCTTGGAAAAAAGGATGAACAGCCTTCGTGAAGTGCTCAAAATGACTGAATCCACTCTCCTTATGCTGTCCCGGTACTATTCCGAGATGGAGGTGAAAACACTGCAGCTCAGTTTTTCCTCAAAGAGGAGCGACTCTCACACGCAGACGGACTCGACCTCTTTGACTGAATCGGAAACGCAAACCGAGGAAAACGGGGTAAGCGAACAGACATCAATAACAAATTGAAATTAATCGAAAATAAAAAGGAGTTGTTTTTCCTACGGATCATCTTTTTGTGTAAACGTGTGTAAATTTACGACATTGTTCAGATGTATCATGTGTTATTTATATATGTCAATATCCTACTATCATAAATGAACCTTCACCTCGAAGCTACCTATTAAAATAATTACGTTAAATATTTTTTTAAATATTTCGTTTGTATCTTGTAAAACTAAAATGAATAACGAAAATCTACAACAAAGCAGAATCTGCTTGTTCTTTGACAATAGTTAAGTTCTTAAGATTAACATTCTGTTGACTTATTTATGAACTCACCTTACTGTTATTGAGGTTGTGAACCCGGCAATGGAGGTAAGCTGTTCCACCCTTTTGGGCAGTCACGTTGGTCTCAAGGGTTGAATCGAAAACGGGTAAGTCTTCCGGAGGGGCTGTCGGCTGCACTACATTTGGCGTCTGGTGCACCTTCGTCTTCGCTCTCTCTTTCACCTTCGCCATCAACTCTTCGTACGACGGCTCTCTCATTCCTGAGGGTCAATCATTCTCATGTAGGAATAACTATGTACGGTATTATGTATAATAATTCAGAGAGCCCAAAATCTAAAAGAGATGAGAGATGACAAAAATCTGCCCCACTTTTGACAAAACATCTATCTATCAGGTCAAATACCTCTCACAGGAATTGTACCTTTCTATGAGATGAGAATTCACACTTGTTGAGAACTTCTGAGTAGAGACGATAAATTGACAGTAAGGGTAAAATATAAATCTCTCAAGAAGGATACGATCTTTGGTTATACCTATAGATCTCTTTCCTGAGGCTACTGACCCTTAGGGGCCGGGACACCACTACACCAATGCTGCGGCGGTAACACTTTTCCGTCGTATGCAGAAGTGCGTCAGCTCTCATCATGAGAATCAAAGCGTCCGATAAGGCCGAATAGGCCAGGTGCGGACGTTAAAGATCCTCTTGTCTTGTTGACGATGAGTAAATCGGGAACGCATGTCCGCTTGAGCAATTAATATATTACATTTAATTAAGGTTTTTAGTTGAAATAAAAATGGCATATCTAGCATATAGCATTCTCGTCGAGAATCCAATCCGATTACACAACATTTGAAAAATGGCAAAAAGGAGGGAGAATTCAAAAAGGTGGGACTGAGATAAGAAGTTAATATCCTAGTGGATCGAGGTCTCGATAGCTCAAGTGGTAGAGCAGCGGCGTATCTAGCCGAAGATTGTGGGTTCGAATCCCGCTCGTGCCATTGACTTTTTTTATCTCAACTAAAAACCTTAATTAAAGGTAATTTGTACTCTTAAATAACTTCTTAGGATTAAGACTAAGGTCAAAAGGAGTATGCAAGAAAGAACAAGGCATAGATATTTTTCACCAAAATAAAATATTTAGACAACCATATAATTCAACCAAGCTGAAGTCCCTGCCTTGAGAAATGACTTATTTTCTACGGACATGCAAACAGAGTGAACTGGGCCTAAGGTCAGCCAATAGTGGAAGGAAACAAAGTAGTTGACGCCATTGAATGACATAAAGCTGCCACACTTTTAAGAAGCATCTATCTATCAGGTCAAACACCTCTCATTGGATTGTACCTTCCCTGGGATGAGGATATCCTATTCATTCATTCATTCTATTTGAGAACCTCTTAGCACAGAAAATAAAGTGAAAATAAGGGTATAATAAAAATCTCTCAAGGAGGATGCGATTAGTTGGTTTACCTATGGATTCAGGATGTAAGAAGGTTCAGAATAAGGGGTATTTGGGCCAAAAATTCTCAAAGCTCATTGAGATGTACGTCAATATAATTTACACATTGTTCTTGAGAAATGCAGACAATTCAATCTGAACAGGGAATACAAGAAGAATGAATATGGTGTATGATAGCCAGGCAGCTATCTGAGTACTTGAATTTCGAACATTGTACATGAAAAACAGGGTCACCCTCTATTTGTCGCTAGGACATGCAGGATAGGACGAAACGAAGAAGTAGATATCCTTGCAATTCAACGCCGCCACACTGCTGACAGGAATCGGAAAATCTCAGCGGGTTAGGAATTCAAACTATCAGAGAATGTGAGATTTTTCTGGGTTGCCTGTGGGGTCTTGACTTTGGTCGTTACGATCATTTCGATCTGCCCAGATACACGGGAAGATCTCGAAACGCATCTCATAGACCGGAGAGGATAGGCAGACCAAAATGATCTGTCAAATAACCGAATGTCTCAGTGAAAAAGTTGAGGGAGAATAAGGCAATAATAGGATTCTCACAAGGAAGGAACAATCTGGTAATAACTTAGTGTATTAACAATTAATTAAGGTTTTTAGTCGAGATAAAAAAGTTAATGGCACGAGAGGGATTCGAACCCACGACCTTCGGCTAGATACGCCGCTGCTCTACCATCTGAGCTATCGTGACCTCGATCCACTCGGACATCAACTCCCCATCTCAACCCCACCTTATGACTAAAAACCTTAATTAATTGTCATGTGTTCATGATTTAAAAATGAAGTACATTTCACTAAAGCATAAGGTGGGGTCACGATAGGTGGTAGAGCAGCGGCATATCTAGCCGAAGGTCATAGGTTCGAATCCCTCTCGTGCCATTAACTTTTTTTCATCTCGACTAAAAACCTTAATTAATTGTCATGTGTTAATTGGTCAAGCGGACCACGAAAGTAGTGAATTAGTGTATTAATTTATCCAGGAGGCAAGAAAGTTCATAGGCAGGAGTATTTATCCCAAAATTCATGCACTCTGAGCAATCATGATATCCCGTCATAAGCTCTAACGGGCAGTGCTTATTCAATGTGCATCTGAAAAAAATCGACATTGACCAATTCGGTGAGTGTGATTCTGTAGAAAGTGTCTTTGATCCAACAACATGCGTGGTAGATATAACTTTCCAACTGGGTAAAGTAATTCTTTACGATTTGAGAAACACCGGTATATTATCAACAAGCTATTGACATGAAAAGAATTAAACAACAAAATGTTTAACGGATGATTTCCGAGTTAGAATATTGACTTGTTCACTAGGTGCGTCATCGACAATCTCAATTAGCCACTTCGCGAAGTCTAAATTCCCCGTCGTGAGTTCGAGTAACAATTTGGTGTTCGGCACTAATTATTCAAAACGGCGAAATTTCATAAGCAACGGGGCTAACAAACGTCTGTCCAATTTGCATTCGAGAGTCCCGGAAGTAATCAGGATCGTAATTTGAAATTCAGCCCGCTGCCAACAAAGGCAATGCAAAACGTATTGTAGCTTCTGTACTTTTGAGCCGGCTAATGTCCGTTTTGGTTAATGACTCGATTTACTATCATGAAGTCAATTGGTGTCGACGCGTAATAAGGGAGGACGATGACTGACATCAAACGCAAACGAGAAAAATAGGAAAACTTTTCTTTCATTATTTCACACATTCGTTATGGCAGCTGATCGGTAGTCATAACCGTAACGAACGGTTACGGGAAATTTTTTCTTATTGTATTTATTTGTAACCGATTTAAATTGATAAATGCCCCCTAACTAAAATTTTGATGAAAAAATCGTTTTTAAATTTTTTTGGGTACGTCGTTCTGGACTACGTCCGTATATGAGGAAGGTTAGGCAAACCGGCAATATCTTTTTTACATATTCCATATTTACGTACGCCCTACCGTTTGTTATGAACAAATTTTCAAAATGAAAATTAGAAACATATTTTAGGGTGGTAAGATAAAAATTGATATTTACTTGAAATATAAAAATAGTTTATTATTAATTATTACATGGGATTTGTAATAATTACAAAGAATGAAACACAATTTCAAAATAATTATTGTACTCTCAAAAATCTGACCCAATTTATTTTTTTTAAAAGAGGGTTCGCAACAGCAGCGGTTATATCAACTCTCGGGGTGCCGGTGTTTTTGAAAGAAAAGCCCATTTGTAAGTATGTCGGGTTCGAATGCAGGGCTGCTGGATTCGAACCCGGGACCTTTACCTTACCTACCATAGTACGCCTATGAGCGCCGTGTCAACGCCTAAACCGTTGCGGCTACCGACGCCCCTATCATTACTATTATTGTGTGTGTGGTGTTTAGTGAGTTATTACTATTATTATTATATACTTAAATATATACAAATATTTTAACTGTGAATTCACATACAATCACTACTTCCACAGAAGCATTGAGAAAAATTTATATATTATTTATTAATGTTTTATATTAAACGAACTATATTCTTACTGTCAGGTCGATAAAAATACCATCTTTGAACTATGTATACAAGTTACCTTTATTAAAAAATTATTTGCAATACTAACCTAATAACAGTGTACGCAAGAAATTGAAATAAATCCTTTTATGTGAGTCTCTTCTTCCGATATAACATGCAATTAAATAACAAATTTTTTGAGCACGTGAATTTATGAAAAAGTATTTAATTATATTTATTAAAAAAATATATACCGAAAAAACATCTTGACGGAGCAAAAGCCAAAAAGGCAAACAAAGAAATACTTATGAGTGTTATCGTCCTCGAATAAATATAAAGAGTTTTATGAAACGCGAAGATTTATAATGAAGTGAAACGTATTTCACATCGACATAATAAAAATTATCGATAGTGTTTGGTCGAAAAGTTTGGATTTTTTCTAAAAACAACTTTCTTTTCTTTAAAAAATCGTAAAAGATTTTCAGGCCAAATTCAAACACGATAATCACAGTAACTTCACTAATTTCGTGGTCCGCTTGACCAATTAATACATTACAATTAATTAAGGTTTTTAGTTGAGATGAAAAAAAGGCAATGGCACGAGCGGGATTCGAACCAACGATCTTCGGCTAGATACGCCGCTGCTCTACCACTTGAGCTATCGTGACCTCGATCCACTCGTACATCAACTCCCCATCTCAACCCCACCTTATGAGTTTTCCCTCCTTTTTGCCATATTTCAATTGTCGTGTAATCGGTTTGGATTCTCGACGACAATTGAAATGGCGACGCAGAGCTTTAGTGAAGTATACTTCATTTAAATTCATTAAATTCACTAATTTCGTGGTCCGCTTGACCAATTAATTGGTAATGTATTAATAAAAAAAGTGTATGTATTAATAAATAAATAAAAAAAGGGTGAAGGACTGTGTATGCTCATAGTTTACCCCAACACCCTACGACAAGTTTCAAAAAGCGGGGGTTGTCTAGGAGAAGTGCGTCGTTCTGGAAAGACGACCGAATACGAGGAGGGTTTGTGCGTAGTTCTGAATGTATTCAATTACTTTCATAAAATTGGCTACCTTCCCGGCCAGTTTTGGCAGGAAATAATTTTTCTGCTGTTAAAAATTTCTTTGAATTTTTTGTAGAACCTAAACCTTACATCAGCATTTATACAATAGATAACGCGGATAAAAAAATAAAATAAATAACACAGGGCTAACACGATTTCTTAAAAATTCTGTATGAGTTTTTAATAAAAATAATACTGAGACATGCAAGGCAATGTTTTTCGGAGATTAAACA